ATCACGTACGTGACGTATGTAAGTGATACTAATGAGCGCATTACTATGTCGCATCGCTGATCGGCTTGGTGTGAAAATTGTTTAATTATACACATGTAGTCGCGCATTGACAAGTACGTTGTCAAAAACTGCAGTGAAAATTATTGCATCGTTCGCGCTGTGCGAGCGACATGTATTGTTATTATCGAGATAAATATTGATATAAAATAAACACGTGTATAATTATACGGATGCACTGTTACACAAATCTGTTATGAAATCTGTTTCAGTCTGACGTAATTAAATTTAACATGTATTACATGTCGACAGATTAAATTGTTGAAATTCCAAAATGTTATGATTTAACAACGCGATTACAGTTTTCGCTTACAAAAGAATGAACTTTTAATGTTATCAAAGAGATGCAATTAGAAATCTATCGACTTTTACATAAATGTATCTCTCAATGGTAATGGTCAAGCATCATTGATTGCGACAAGAAAAATTTTATTTCTCATATAGGATGACATTAATGACATCGATGACATTAATGCAGCAGGTGTCCGCGCTATTACTTAACGCGATATTAATTCTTTACATCACACACGGTGCAGCGTATCCATATTGATACGAATTTTTCCGAGGGAGTCATTAATGCGGAATTCTATTGAATACGGGCGCCTTGACGAACCATAAACTCGTTTTCTGAAGCGTGGAGGGGTATGAATAATGGTTACCGAACGTGCCGCGTATATGAATTTGCATAACACCGCCGTTACACGTATATAACGTACATATAACATATACGTATATAACATGCATATAAAAAGTGTTTTCATTTACATAGATGAGAGTACGCACATTTTATGAAATGTGGGAGGCAAGGAAAAATGAGCGTTTTTTATTTTTCTGCTTATAGAGATTCGTTGGTTGCTGTACGTTCGATCAAACATCTGCGATAAACCGCGAGCGAGTTTAAAAATCACGATTTATTTCACCGTATATTGCTACATATACGGTTTTCATTGTTATCTATAATTTGTTTTGTTGTCATTTATAATTTATTTTTATTTATATTTTAGTTAAATTATTTTTATTTTTTATTTCATTCGTTTAAATATTTTAACAGGCTCATAATCCAGGCATACCTAATACCATTCGTGATTATTAACGTCATTCTAATTTCGTAATTTCTAATTAAACCTCTTCTCTGTCCCAAAGCCGGATAAGTAGTACGGATGCAGATGAATATAACGGAACAAGGACTGCATCTCGTCGCGATTTCTTGCCGTGTGCACGATCGGACGTCTTACGCGACCGGAATTAATTAAAGTCATTCTAACATTATCTCGCATGCTTGCGGTACTTAATTGTATGCAATTATAATCTTCGTTCGTTATGCAATCGCAGACGCAATTGTTTCCTGTCGTTGTAATTCGCTTCGCTTGCTGAATGATTTGTTGATAATTCTAGTTCGCGGGCGTGGTCGTACCATTATAATTGATCGATTTATCTATTACTGTTTTTCTTTCGGCGTAATAGCATAGTGATGTACAATTTCACAATTAAACGAAACTTTGAATGCAATCGAGAGAAATTCAAGTTAAAAGACTTTCCTTCCTTAAACAGGTTTAATCATACATAATTATTACAACTAAACATGTGCGATTAATTTAAAAATTAATTAATTTAAAAATTGTACACAATTTAATAATTAATTAATTTAAAAATTGTACACAATAATTAAACACCATCGAAAAAATTACAGATAACTCTACAACAGTGCAATACAATTGATATGTAAAAATTGTTTCTCGTTGATGTGACAGAAAAATCGATCGTACTTCATCTCATCGTATTTAACGTATCTAATTAACGAACTTCTGTTCAACGTCACGCGTTTGATAATCGAGAACGGAGCCATTCTACGGCCTGTTTCGACTGTAACGCGGCTCTTTAAAGACGATTCGTTTACGTTACATACAACGTTATATATACGGTGTGCGAGAGCGGCGAAACGGCTGTCCATTAACGACCGGGTGACGTTTAACGAGGTGTAGCGCGCTTTTTTTTCGCGCTTAACGAGCGGCGGGCCTTTGCCAATTGCGTTTATGAGAATTGCGCGCATAATTCACAAAATCGACACAGGAACCCCAAAATAAAACGCTGCCCGATACAGCCGGCTTTATCATCGGTTAATATCAACTGGGATATCTATTACAGAACGTTTCTATCCGAATTTTCGACTGCATTTTGTTGGATGCGATTCGCAACAGGATTATACGCGAACGATATAACGTGGAATAGTAAAACTTTAATACGCGTTTTGCATCCTAAAAAAATTATGTAACAGAGATGGCTATGGAAGACTTAAAAGTGATATATTACAAAGCAAATTTAAAGAGAGAAAATGTATATATATATTTTTTTTACGCGTACATTAAAGATATTAAAATGCTGTCTCTGTGTTGAAGTATTTTTTTTTATTAATTAATCTTTCCATGAAAAAATAATTTTAATTATCTCGCGCACGTATTTACGTTAAAAGGATCTCATGGTAAAAATACCTCTTTGGAGTTAAATGTTAAATTGCGAACATTTGCGCGTATATTATTATCTCGAGCGCTCGTATTGCAAGAGCAATTCACTTTGATCGCGTATCGTATACACCATACATTATAGCCTTCACCGATCACGTCTTCGCTTTCGACGCGCATCAGTTTCATTGACCACAGCGGCGATCAATGTTGTCTCTGTCATCCATCTACCCGCTTCTCATCTTCGCGTCCGCACCATTCATCCTTGCATCGCGTTTCGAAATTGCCTCTTTCTCGACATGTGCATTCCTTGCAAACGTTTCGTTATTATTCTCGCACCGATATAACTTGGGTCAGCAAAATTGTGATTGCATGATTTTTAATGATTAAATGTAACTCGGTTTTATTTCTCCGATTTTTATTTACGCGCCATTTTTTCCATATACAATTATGCCTTAATTTCTAATCACATTAAACATTTCAATATTCTTGTAATTAAAAATATTATCAAGATTCTATTTGATAATGGTTCCAATTTGACATTAATTTTTTGATTGTTTAAAAACGGATGCTTTTTGAAAATTGCCTTACTTGATTAGTTTGAATTTTAACGTCTTTTAATCGCGTGAAAAAGATGCGCGGCTTTCAGAATATCTAGTACATCCGCCAGTACGTTTGAGCTATTATACAATTATCGTGTTTCTCGCTCGCAGGCATGGCGCATGGCTTTTGTCGATTCGCTCGCGTCAAAGCGCGTCCGGCGAACCGAGAAGTATGTGTAACTCGATTCATCTCTTGTCGGTCTCCGGCAACAGTCGGCGTCGAAACGCTGTTCCGCAGGTCGGCACACAGAGCTCGCTTATTATTGTTTACGTAAAGTTTACGTAACATCATACACGTATGTGCTGTGCATCAACAGTCGCAATGCACTTGCGATGCGTTCGTTTCTCGAGACTTATGCATCTCGCAGCCTGCAACGACCCGTAAAATAGTTGTAGCCCTTAATTTTTTCACAGTTTCAGAGACAACGTTTTCTGGGAAATATTTATTCCCTGCTATGTAAAACCATTTGGAGTCTAAAAAATCAGAATAATTCATTAAAACTGTCTTGTTTTTGTATAAAAATTCTAAGGAATAATGATTCTTTTGATATTTTGTGAAATTATATTTAAATATTTTTTTATAAATATATTTGATAATAATGTAAGAGATAAAAAATTAATAATTTTTTATAATTTATTATTTAATTTAATACATTTATTATTTAATATATTTGGCATAATTTAAGAAATAAAAAATTAATAACTTTTTATAATTTATTATTTAATTAGTTGAAAAAAATGAAAATTTCACCAATATTATCAGTCATCATGAGGAAAAACATTGTATTCAATTTTTATACTTTCGCACATCTTGCACTTTATTCTTATCGCAGAAATCAGTATAACGCTGCATGCGATCTTTAATTTATAACGAGATACGTTTTAGATAATGGCAAGAAAAGAATTGCCGTTCTTTCCGCTGTATCGATCAGGATTTATCGCTATGAATCATGTCCTCTTTCATTTCATCGAGCGACCGAGCAATACTTGGCACTTAAATCCGTATCATGTCCGACGACGAACGATTACTTATCGACATTTTTAAGACGAAATATTATTGCGTGCGGAATGGAACGGACGTGGAAGGAAGGAACGATGAATAAATACTCTCGGTGGGAAGAGAGAAAAAAAAGAGAGAGTGAAAGGGAACGAATCCGATCTCGCAACGGAGACGACGGCCACGTCGACGCGTGAATCATTTTATCGGGAAGCCCGTGAATAACATTACGGTCGATATATCGTGCGGAGAGCTTTGCGCACCGAAGACAACGAGTCTTTAGGGCTTGAAAGGGTGATTTAGCGAACGACGTCGATCGCGCTCTCAAGAATTATTAACGACGCGCACACCTCTCCGGGTTCCGGGTTTCCTTGCGCCTTTTGTGAATTTCTTCCTCCTTCGACGTCGCGCTTCCTTCCTCTCCTCCTCGGGGAAGAACGATCATTTGCGTCGATCGTAAGATTCCCGTCCCAGGGAAAAATTGCATTAACCATCGAGCGAGACTCGGTAATGTTGTCGAGGGTGACGACGAGTTCGCTTTATCACCGTACGCTTGTAAAAAGCGCGTTTTGCATAGATTGCATAATGTAATTTTTTTTCTATCAACGATAGTCCTTGAGATCTCGTAGAATATGGAATAATGATAAATCATATCGGTCTGACGATCACTCTGGTATTTTTATTATATATCGATAGTGAATTTAATTTTTTTAATGCGGTTTTGATATTTCATATATTAATTTACATATTTTATGTGATACAATACGTAGTGATATTGTTTTAATAATTAAAAAAATTATAAAATCCCCACGATGTATTCTTTTACAATGTAATTTCGCGCAAATTAATGCTATCTATGATGACATGTTTTTTTTGTGATTGCAGGCTGAGGACCTCCTGGACGACATTCTGTCGTTCGAGGCTGGCTCCTTGGGTGACGGATTGAAGGACGGTCAAGCCGGAAGTCTCACGAATATACCGGAACTTCAAATTAAGCCAGAACCTCTCTTGCTCACGGAAGCAGAAATCCATGCCATCGCTAAGGATCGACAGAAAAAGGACAATCACAATATGAGTAAGTTGATAATTGATTCTCTGATTAAATTTTTACGATGACGTATCTAGTTGTGCGCGCGTCCTGATATTTATTAAATTAAATTTTATTTAATTATGAATGATAATATAAATATTATTCCATTAATTATGAATGATATATAAATATTATTCATGAAAGATTAAATCTCTTGTACGGGAAATTTTCTGCATTAATAAAATATCAAGCAATGAATTAAAACTTTTCGTATAACTTATCAAGTTTGGTTGAAGCAACTGTTGCAGATGTATCTGCGACAGATTGTCGTCCGTTTTATCTTTTACACTAGAGAGAATTTATTCACGCTCATGACTACAGATTACGTCATGTGGCGGATTCAAAATTACGTGCTGGAATTCTATTTTGTGTCTCAGACACGTGGCTTTCGTAATAAGGCTGATGTTTTAATCTTGCTTCTCTTGGTACAGCCGCTTTGAATGTCGCTCGATCGATAGGCTGTAAGCAAATTCTGTTTATCCATGTAGAAATAATTGATAAGCGCCACCGTGCAATTTACACCTCAATGGTAGCAATCGGCGATGCCACGTTATCGTTATTGTTGCCGATGTTTACTACATTATACGTACTTATGTCAATACAGTATGGCAACATAAACGGCCTATTTAAATGATAATGGAAAAATGTCATCCCTATATCGGTCGTTTATTATTATCACGAATGCAGTCAATTAAAGTAGCATCTGTTGGTTATCTGTTAACGCAAACAACATGGACGAATCAAATATAACCTCGTACGTTCATGGTGTTTGTATGAATAATGAAAATTTAAAAAGGACATTTTTACTGGTTTTAAATTATTCTTGATACAAATGGAATGATATTCCGAGTATAGTATTGTCACGATTTTAATTATTTAAATAATATCTATATTTTTTCCTTATTATATTATATTATCTGTTAATTTTTCTGAAATTTTTCTGATAATTTAAAATTTTTCATCTCATTAAACATGCATTTAAGAGTCCTTGAAAAAAATATTAAATTATGAACCACAAAAATGCATTTAAATTTATTAAATAATTATCTATATTTATTAAACAATTTCTTTATCAAGTGCATTTATGGTGATAATTTTCTATGAATTGAACGTTAAAAATCAATAGAAACGCTGCTATGAAAGATTCTCATTAAAATCATTAAATGAATTAATCTCTACATGACGCGTGTAAGAAGCGAATAAATAATTTTCGGGCGGCGATATTCGAATACGATACCATCTTTGTTAAGCACTGGTTTTCTGTTTTACTATGCAATATGTGTTACGCGCCGAATTGCACATTTGTGTTCGTGTGATTCGCGACAATCCCGTGAATTTGACCGAGTAATCAGTGAGCTTCAATTATTTCACTTCGCGCTTCCCACCGCAGTGCAATAAAACTTTGCTACATATGCGTGAATTTTTATGAATGTTTGCTCGTAAATATGTGCACAAATTTGAATAGTTTTTATTACATGCTGATATTTGTAAATATAATTCCGAAAATATAGGCAACCTTAATGCGTATCGCGCGCAGTTGATCAAATTCTCGTTCTCAAAAAATGTAAAAGTGTGAGTTAGAAATGTATTCGTATGACATACGATAACGACGCAAAATAATATTATATAATATTCATATAATTAATATAATAGAATTTTGATAATCACAAACTTAAATCATTTGATGACATATTCTTTAATGTACTTTATGCGATTTTCTCATGAGATGTTTCTTCAACCATTGATTCTCGTGATTAAAGCATCGCTAAAATTGCAAAAAATGGCACGATGCTCACGAATGAAACAAGCGGAAATCGGGCATGGACTGCATTGGGAAGAATTGGAGCATCCAATTTTCCGAAAACAATTGCGAGCATAATGAAAGGTCGGTGGATACGAAAGAGGCGGAATCGAATTTGTAAAAGAGAATGGTGAAATAACGGGCGTGAATTACGCGGAAATATAGGAAATGAAGTAGGAATTCTGTAAAAATAGTCGCGCGAATCCCTGATTCGCTTTTTCTTTGTCTCGCCACTTATTGACTACTATTGTGCATCTTCGCCTGGTGCATTATCGATTGCACGCTGTTCTACGTGCAAAGGATGAAAGAGAAGCTTATCGGCGAGACTGCGACTTGTCTTTTTACACGCTTTTATTGATTTGCATGCAACGTGAGTCTATTTGCGAACGTGCCTTCCTTTTTCCTAATTTGTTTAATCCTGTTAATTATGTCTCTTCCCCTAATTAACTCCATTCAGGAAATGTGTCAAACGGTCTCGTTCCTATTTTATGCTTTATATTCGTAAAGTTCGCAAATCTTTTTGTGAATTAAATGTGATAAAATTTTTATGCAAATTTAATAGGAATAAAAACTGAAATATATATAAAATAATTCAGGAGCTCTATTTTCAACATAAAAAGTAAATTATTCTTTTAGATGTAATGCATTTGTATTGCGAACTGGAATTAAAGGGCAATTTCGCATTCCCTTTCGTTGAGAAACCCAAAGCCAAGTCGACGAAACGCTTCTCCCTAATCTTTACTCGTATCTCGGATAATTTCTTGCCACCGGAAACCGGGGTTTGCTGATTGATGAGACTCGTCGTCGTCGATTAGGAAGGCGTGCCTCTTGATTCCAAGCGAAAAGCATAGGTTCGCGCATCTTCTCGACAGAATCAGGTAGCTTCGATTTCCGTCGTTTGTCCTCTCCCCAGCTTCATCGACTTTCCAGCCTGTGCCTCACCCTACTCTAAATTAACCATCGTAATCTAATCAGCGAGATCAGAGGAAGTTCCTTCTCGCCCTTCCCATCTACGTTCATCCCTTTCTTCGTCGTTCCTTCGCGTGTTCTCCTCGTTTCTCTTTCTCTCTCAGAGCGAATTGAGTTCGAGAGAGGAAGTTACAGCTTCCTCAAAGTTTTCAAGGCTGCTCTTCATCTTCTCGTGCGACATCTCCTCGATCGTATCTCATCTTTTATGGCCTTTATAACCGTCCTATCGCGCTGTTTATAAATATTTGTCTCTACAATATGAATCAGCAATTTGTAGAATTTTGTTTGGCATATGATGTAGACCTGTGATGCACTTTGAAGTGTTTCAAAAGTGACGTAGATCTTATTTGGAACCGATTTTCCTTCAACTACATTCGACTTCTACGGAATCAGAGTATTCCCTCGCATCTTGAAAATTTTATTTTCGAGAAATGTTTCTTAATATAACATATCTTCTTTTTTTTGTTTTAAAAATGGAAAATTATATTAAAAATGTGAGATTATCGAAATTCCGTTTCGATAATTTCACATTTTTAATATAATTTTCCATATACTTCGAATAATTTAAGTAATTTTTTTGTTATTATCTCTAGTAATATATTTTATTCTGGATAAAGACATGAAAGAGATAAATATTATAAGCTTGTGTGCTTCCTGAAAATTAATTTTTTTGTTTAATACATGTTATTAACAAATAAAAAGTTGATTCATTTTTTTATCAAATTTTATGATTTATTAGAAACAAAATGTTTTATCTGTTTCTTCTGCCAACTTAACTTTTGTATCCAGCGATTTTTATCGCATTTAAACTCGATTAATAATGATGATAAAGAGATGTTATCGAAAACAGATCAAAGTGAAAGAGAATTAATCACTTGCTCTTTATCTTTATCAATTAGTCGTCATAATATTTCGCTTCCGTTATTCACGGTAACGAATAATGGAGTGTTGTTTCCGTCCAATTCGCATTTTGATGAATTTATTTTTCCGATCGTGGCTTATCATCGAGATGATCGTGATATCAGAGACGCACGTGAAGGATAGGTAGGGAACCAAACCTGACCTCTTCGTTGGAGAGATACCTGGCCGGAATAATCGATCGGGTACAGGGGTCATGTGCCAACGATAGGGTGATTTGGTTCGCAGTCTTTTCCGCAAGGGAGATACGCTATATCCTCCGGAAAGCGCGATATGCTTTCCTGCCCAATAACTTCGATACGAGACGACGATACTGGAGACGGTTCGACCCTTCACAATTCGTGTGCACGTTCAAGATGACGTCGATATAGTTTATTGGGATTGAACGATCGAGGGATATCACGTTTGCTTCCAATCGCGTCAAATAGTTGTAACCTCAAGAAAAATAACAGCCCGCGAGTATAGAATGTAGACGAGATTAAGCGTCTACGGAAATATATAATACATATAATATATAATAATAAAATAAAAATAATATAATATATAATATATATAATATAATACAATATATAGATGAATATATATTTTTACCTTTTTCCTCTCTCAGAAATATAATCGAAAAAAGGGAAGAAATATTATTCATATTCCATAAAAAATTTTTATTATTCCAAAGATAATATAAGAATCTAGATCTATTTTTGTTTCCAGAGAGATTGCGTAGAAATTTCTCAAATATTTGACATATTTATTGAAAATAATTTTATAGCAATATTATAAAAACACACACACATGATTCTGATTTATAATCGTAAGAATTATTTATCGATTATTGATTAATATCTGGAATATTTTTGTATTTACTTTTTTTAAGAGTAACCATAAGATTAGTCCTTTAACTATAGGAATGCAGAAAATTCTTTTAACAGTCGAGACAGACAAGTCTGGGAACTAAACATTCTGGTGAAAAAAAAAACATTGAAGGACGAACCGTTCTCGCGCATCGATTCAGTCGTGCGATTAGCGGGCGAATTAACAAACGACGCGATCTATCTATCGCATCTGTCGCGAGCGAGTCATGATTGATGTGCGCAATTTCCGTTTTCAGTCGAGCGACGGCGGCGCTTCAACATCAACGACAGGATCAAGGAGCTCGGCACCCTCCTGCCCAAGACCAATGACCCGTGAGTACGAATTTCTTTTCTTCCGTTTCTTCTCTTTCCTTCGCTTCCTCCTCGTCGCACGTTCACCCCTTTCACCCTCCTCTCATCGCCATCTCTCTTTCTTCGCAGTTCTCTTATTCTTCACTTTACCCTTTGCACATTCCCCATGGACCATTATTTCCTGTTCGTGACCCTTTACGACGAGTTAGTCCAGGTCAGGTGCTCGAGACGAGAGGCTTTCATCTCATCTGGACCGGAAGTCCATTCTTCGCCCCTTCCCGCTCTCTTCTTCCCTCTGCTTTCCTTCCGCTGGCTCTTCACGGCCGCTCGCTCTTCCTTCCTCTATCTCAGCTTTGTTTTCCGTCCTTCCTGCCGTCAAAGCGCAACACTTCCTTCGACCCGGTGAATGAAGGTAAATGCGAAGGAAAAATAACACCACAAATCGGAAATACGGGGAGGAAGAGATTGGAAAAGAGCCGAGTTTGTTTACACTGTACACATTTTATCGTACCTTTTATCATGCTCGTATATTCTTTTCCAGTTCTAAATAAACTAATTTATCAAATTAATTTTTCTGGCAACACATACCTTTTATTTTTTAACTCTGGAAAATTTTTTTTCTCTGGAAAAGTTTTTCTTCTATTTTGATATTTTCTATTTTTCTATTTTGATATTTAGATTTAGGAAACATAATTATAAAAAAGAGCTTTTTATTTACATGTTAATTTAAAAAAATTACCTCAATTATAAAATGATTCTATTTCGAGGTATATTTGTGCTTTAAATTGCGTATATCCCTTTTGATATCATAGGAAATAAATCATAATAAGTATATTTTAACGTTTTTTTAATGTTTTTTAACGTTTAGTAATATGCTATATATCATCGGAATATTTTTAACTTCTTTTATATTGAAATAGCGTGGTGATAAAAGATAAGTAATAATGTACGATTATTCAATGTGCTTAATTATATCCACCGTTATACCGAACTAGTATCGTAAAAAAGTCTTATCTATATCGTTCAATGTTTAGAGTCATTTATACAGCTGTAAAAACTTCAGTCTTTTAAACTTGGTAATACATTTTCATTAGTAACACATTTTGTTTACTTTTAATGATTATTATATGATATCAATTATAATATACAATACAATCGATAAATGGAATTATAAGTGCAATTATTTTATAATAAATTTAATTGATAATCCTTGAAAAATTCAGAATTATAAATTTTTGCTTCATCGCAACGCTACTAAATTAAATAAATTTCAAACAGAAAAGTATCACACGCATATACATAACATGATGCGGATTATTTCGAGTCAATAATTCTCAATTATGTATAATATGCCAGTTAATGAAATGAGACATCTGTTTTCTTTGCCTTTTTTTTTTGGAATCTCGATATGCGCGTCTGACCTCTTTCGGATGTGATCCCTGACACAAATCTCCAACACCGAAACTTCTTCGACACACGATGTACGTACTAATGAACGATTCTTTTGCATAGAATAGCCGAACAAGTCCGTCGTTCATTTATCAGTCCAACGATCGACCCATTTATCTGTGTCAACATCCGGTGAACTTAAAAACTCCCTCTTTCGTGTTCGACGTCCTCTTTTCTCATGCGCGTTTCTTTGAATAACGATCCTTGAAAAACCACGGGAAAACCTAAACGAATTAGGGTCGCGAGTAACAACCGGTTTTACTGAATGATAAGAAAACTTTATGCGGCGAATATAAACAAATTCATCTTGATATTTTAACTAATAATATCAAAAAAAAGATGACAACTTTAATCATGGACTTTTCTCATAATTTTAGTTATTATATTGCGTTTTATTAGAGAGTATAATTAATTACATCATGTTTTACATCTTTAATTTTACTATTAATTGTAAGATTTAGAGCAAAGAATTTAAGAAGCTTTCGAGCATCGATAAAACTGACTTTTATTGAGAGAAAATCCTTTAGTTTAATATCATTCTTGATGCATTTTATGTCGCGATATCATTTTTAACATCGCTCAAGTCTTGATATGTCGCAAAGCGGGTATAACATTTATCGTTAATAATTATTGATTTACGGCATCATAATTTATGTTATCTGTGTTCAATGAAGGAGAAGCGTGCAGGCAGGCGTGCATTCTTTATCTGCCGTCATATTCCCGTCATATTTTTCGACACGTCACTGATAGACGCGATAACGAGAGCACGCGTGGGATTAATGTGTTCCACGTCTCGAATTTCTTCCTCCTTATCCTTCCAATATTTGAAGCTGACGAGAGTTGAATTAATAGCGGCTTTACCCCAATCATGTTTGTCAGCGATAATTTATACTCATTTCAATGTTCCTCTGGAATTGCATTTAACGTGCACTTTAAATGTCTTGATCGATTTTTCGATCTGTCGCGTGCGATAACATTCGGTCCATGCATTGTCTACGCGACAGTACTCTAGCACAGGGTACATATAAGTCCTCGATTCTTGTAGCGTTTCTTTTTATTTAATGACACTCATTTCATCGATAAGATAATTGCAAATGCACGATAACACTTTGCGTTCTATCGCGTGATAAAAAAATGGAATTGTCAACCACATTGGAATCATACTGCATTTTCTATATGGAAGCGGATATGGTTCACTCGTCATAGATTATTTCATATGAATCAGGCACAATTTTAAATAAGCATGTTTCATTTGAATAAAAATAATGCAGTATTTTAAATATTTATAAAATTACACCACGCACAGTGTAAGGGATGTCTTAATTAAGATTTTAAAAATAAGAGATTTTAAGATAAAGAATTTTTATCATAATTTGTACAAATTATGATAAAATCAAATTTTTATTTCTCTTTCATGCATGATAAAAATGAGTAATTTATTTTAATAAATTACTTAATTTTTACATTTATTTATTTATAGCTAAAAAAAACAGATGTATTTTTTGCAAAGAGATTTTGTCGAAATTACGCTTGATAAAAATCAGTTAATCGCGATCGTATGCGATAAGAGAATGAGAGTACTGACATTAGGAGCTCTTGTGAGCGTCTCGACATGCTCTAGGAACGTGTTTCTTCCTCAAGGTTTCAGTTTCGGCTTTGGTCGAGAAGGATATTAAGGGGAACGCGAGTAAACTGCGCGATAGCGCACTGATGATAACGAAATATAGCTCGGATTCTAAAGACACCAGCAAACACGACACAGATTTCTCCTCCCGTTCCTTCCCCCGTTTTCGCTCGAATGTCCCCGTTTGTTCCGCTTGAATTTCGGCGAATCGTCCTCGTTTCCTCGCGAAATATCTCAGATCCCTCTTCATCCGCGTTCTCTTTACATCGTTGCTCATTAGCGAAGGAGAAACGTCGATACACGCATGCCTGTTTATTGTTTGCCGTACAAACTTGTTCCCGATACCGTGTACAAGTACGAAAACCATGCGCGAGGCCTGAAATGCACCATGACGCGTTTCTGTTGAAGCGTGGAATGTTCAATAATTCGGACGCCTGCTCTTGTTAATTATAATGAAACGGTAATTGGATCTGTGTCAGTTTGCATGACGTAGTATTAAATGGTTCTTTAGCTATTTATTTCAAATAAATGCACTTTCAATATGCGTTTAATTAAATATTTGTTCGAAATAGAGATTATATTCACGCACGAAATAAAAATGAAATTATGCTACATTCGAAAACACATACAAAGCTTGCTTGTAAATTTTCCGCGTTAAAATTTCTCGATTAAAAGGTAATTTTAATTAAATGAAAGATCTGATTATATTCGGTAGTGAAAGTTGGCGAAACACAAGTTGTTTTGCTAAAAGATGCGGCGGGTCGGTATATTAACTTTCAAGAGTGAACTTGAAAATGTTGGCAGAACTCTCGTTGAATCCTTAAACTTCGTACACGATGAATTTGACAACCCGAAAAAGCATACGCACTTTCTCCTTTACATAATGTAGGAAATTAATAAAATGTAGAATTCGTTGTACGGTAGGCACATTTGCGGAAACGCAGATTGCGAGCTCGGTTTGACGTACACGAATCCGCATAGCCACAAATTCGCAAAGTTGTTAATGCGGAAACATGACGCATCTCTTTCTTTCTCTCTCACTCTCTCCTTCGTGTGGAAAAATGATGCTTTATGCGATGTTCCGGCGGCTGTTTGGCTTCCGAGTTTGTGGGCGCAAAATCTCGCGAATCATGCAACGGCGCATCCATTCGCGATCCGCGATCGCGCGTGAATTTAATTACAGTTTTGCTGAGGCAATGTAAATTATTAGCCACGTCGCGAGAGCGTTCGCGCCGCTACAAGAACGCGAAACTATTTTGTTGCGAAATGCAAAACAATAGATAATTATTAATTATTTGTTTACACTGGTTTGTAATTTATTATTTGCCTCTATACATTATGATTTACAAGTATACATTTATAAATTGCATAATTTTGCATGGATCAATAGAAATTTGAATTTAACGCTATTTCACGTATATATTTTCTTATTATCTTCAATTTATTTCTATTTCTGTCAAATTAAATAAATTAACAATATTGTTTTAAGCAAAGTTCGCGCTATTTTGTGCAAATTATTGCGCGATCGTAAATATTAGAATTTTCTTTTGGATCGGAGAGAGATTTTCGGTGAAACGTTTCGATCACCAGCAGACGAAATTAAGGATGCGACAGCTGTATGACGCGCGTTCGATCCTCGTATTCCTACGGGATAAGGCGGAGGATTATGTTTTCTCGGAAGGCCATTCACGAAGGAGTTCACGAGGGATGGATATGTCGCCCGGACATGACGAATGCCATCTCATAATAAGCTTTCCGTTCGCCATCGCTTCTACTCGTGGACGGCGGTAGTTCGCGATTTTGCGGACGATAAATCGACGGAACGATTCCGTCGTAAATCAACGGCCGCGACGGCGATGCGACGCGCGAGAAAAAAAAGGCGTGAATAACGACAAAAATCCGTGAGTGTTGTTCGCGAGTTCCGCGTGAGAATATTTAAATCGCGAGGATGAATCTCACGGCGCGTTCCTACCGTTCGTTATGAAAAATTTCATCTCGCTCGCGTTAAAAAAAATTCCCAATCCTTCCAAAATAAAATACTTATGGAGAAAGAACTAATGAAGAATAAATGAGCTACCATATCAATGTCAGAGAAATATGATTAATGACATTTCGAAAGAATATTTGTATATAAAATAGCGCAGTCTATGTATCTCTTTGAAATGGTGTTATTCAATTATAAATACTGATTTATATTATCGTGTAAATTATGTAGTTTGTGGATAATGGTCTGTATCTTATCAGCTGTTGTTGAATATGCGAGTCATCCAATATGACATTGTTTCATTTCTAAAGAGAAAAATGCTATTTACGTTTATATTACGTACAGTGTAATATATACTTATTTGCTCGTAGGTACAACACCTCATGCTTCATAATGATAAATTATATGAACGTAAAGTGAGCGAAAAAATATTATACAATACGCTAAAAAATCGCTCTTGACATTGTTCAATATATTGTCAAGTATTTCTGAAAAAAGTTTGTACTTTCTCTCAAAATCTTGAATTTTTCTCGCCCTTGCATTCTCATTCACGAACCGCTTGGCAAGCATTCTTTACACTGGCATTGCGAGATTGTCCGCGCTGGATCATCGCGAATGTCTCTTATGAGTAAGGATACCTCGGTCCAAGACACTACATCTCGCTTTTCGCTTCTGCGTCTTTGTGAATTTTTCGCGAGCGTCGTCGTGCGAAAAATTCTCCGCGTTAATGACAAATCGTCATGTCTGCACAGAAGACACAAAAGAGGCACAGAGTTTGGTGAAAAAAAGAGAGAAAAGCGTGAAGAGTATGAACACGCGTTATGGAAATTTTTTAGCATTTCGTTGCCTACGTCGAATTATCGCCACCTCCGTTCGTCTGATATATATTACGCGCGAATTCCCGCGCGGAATTCCATCTTGAAGCGGCCCTCGAAACGTCATCATCATCAGCGGCGGCGGCGCTACTCGATAATATCGGTTATATTATGGTCGAATAAGGAACTTTGGGAATTTCCCGCAAAACACCCTATCTCGAACACGTTTCCAGCGAAATAATCGTGTGCCTAAAGTTTCAAAGAGCGCCTTGGCGTCTCTTTTTGGCATTCTCTTTTTTTCCTGCTTCTCTCTCTCTCTTTTTTCTTTCTTTTTAATTTTTTTTTAAAGTCGGGGAATTTAAAACATGGTCATAAGCCGCTGTGCTTTATACAACTTATGCTAAAGAATCATATAATCATATTATAACTCTTTAGCATCATTGACGATGGATGAACTTTTAGTGTAAGAAAGATTGTAAATGCCAAAAAAATTAGACTGCTTTACTTTTAAAAATTTTTGAATAATGTGTATAATTTATTTATTTATTTGTTTAGTCTTACTGTACGTTATAAGAGGATTTCTTTTTCATTTATTTCCTATAAATAAATAAATAAAATTATTACGCTTTCCATGAAATCTATATAAATATATTAAATATATTACAATTGTTAAAATATAAGTTAAAATTTAATATAATGTTGGTTTCTCGCGCTTGTGTTACAGATATTACGAGATCGTCAGGGACGTCAGGCCGAACAAGGGTACGATCCTCAAATCCTCGGTGGAGTATATAAAGTTGTTGAAAAACGAGCTCACGAGGATGAAGCAGAACGAGCTCAGGCACAAGCAACTCGAGCACCAAAATCGACGGTTACAACTGCGCGTGCAGGAACTCGAATTGCAAGCGAAGGCACACGGGCTTCCGGTTTCCGACTTCACCTGGGCGTCCACCTCTACCATGCTCAACACTTTCCCGAGGAGTAAGCTTGAGCAACGAAAGGTAAGTCGAAAAATCTTATCCCGCACGACAGGGTATCTCTTAATTCACTTTCTCGATACATCATTGCATCATCCATTATATAGAGTTTCATGTCTAATTTCCATATTCGTAATTAATATATATTCATAATAATTATATATTTACTCATAATAATACTTACACGTACTTTTAATTCTCGTTCTCTTATCCACCTCCGCTCTTTTAACAATAAAAATCGCATTTTTTTATTCGATCAAAAAATTTATATATTTTATATACATATAATATTTATTTTCAAATCTACATATATCGTTTATTTTAATGAAAATTAATATTCTTTTTTTATATACTTCTAACGACATTTATAATAATTGTGATTGCTCAAGTAAATTATTTCTCTTAATATGCGATGATAAATCGAATGATATCATTAATTTCCATCGGTGGAGATTAGTGAGTGTGCGGTGTGTCGTAACGACGAATCATTTAATCTTAATATAGATGGCCGCGTGTTGATTTTCGAGGTTGTAAAGATCGGCGGCATCGATATATAACGATTCGATTCATGATCCTTGATCCGAATAAACTTTCTGCTCATTCGCCAGACTAGTTTCATAACGCATGTATCTGTTCCGACGAACGGAGGCAAATAGCTGTTTGCTTACTCCATCGTTCATTCGTTCGCGAGAGAGCACAACGTGTCTCCTACGTTCTCGTTTATATACTATCGATACTTTCGTATACGAGAGCGGTAAAGCTGCCTTTTGACAGCACTGACGATGTAACGATTTATTACGTAACCGAGATCGACCTGAAGCCGTATAATGAGGCTTGCATAATGAGAGAGAAATGTTTGTCTCATTTACATACAATTAACGCATCGATTTTCGTCGAGCGACTTTTGTGATTACGATCTTTCGATATCTTATTCGATCGCTGATGACAAAGCGATTGCAGGGATTAAAAAATATCTTCTGAGATTTTCGTTTAATATTCGAATAAACATCAATAAAATATTTTACGCAGCATTATAATTGTGAAAATTATAGTAGTGAATTAATTATAATTGTGAAAATTATAATAATTCGTGAAAAGAAAGGCTTTTACGATAATTTTAATTATTCCGTTCTCTCTATAATTATTACAATTATTGTGAATATTATAATTTTCGCTTGAAAAAAAGAATGGGTTATTTCTCACTTCGTTATTATTCGAAACGTTAATCTTGATACAAAGCACCAGTTGACTTTTCACCTGGCGACTACTCTTCATTGGCAGCGGATTATTGTCTCGAATAATGAACTACCGGCTTATCTCCTGGTTGCCGTGCGAATCGCCCTCGTTCGTTTCGCCCCTCGTTACGATTTCGCTTCCCAATTCCGAATCTCCGAGAGATAACCGTCACTGTTGTCCTTGCTCTTTAAAACGTTCGATGACGAAGCTATCTTTGTAAGATGACGGCAGAAATTACCGCTGATTTAGTGAGCCAGATAAAATTATGCATACGAGTCTTGACGCGAATAGCTTCGTGATGCGATTAAGGACTCTCGAAGTGTCGATAAAATGATGACCGCTTTTGTGACGACAGATCTAGGCCTCTTAAGGAGATTATGTATGTCGACACCGAGGAGCCAGCTAAAAAAAACAGAAATGTTTTATTAATCTTCTAATATTATAACCGTATCGACAGTGGCGTAACTGACGTCCATTCACTCTTGCAAAATTTTGACGAATTTGAAACATTGAGAATGACGTGCGACACATAATGTACGCAAGAAATGTGAGAAATAATTATGTCTATGAAATGTCGTCAGCGCGACTGATTAGAGAGGTGTTCTTATTATAAATTCTTGAACAAACATCTTGATTATAGTTGATGAGAGAAAAAAGTCGCGCGATCTTCTTTCTTATCTTTTCTAATTTAATTTGATATTACATCCAAACTTGGAACTTTGTTTGTCACGCATGCGAAGGTGTGCGGCCGTGGCGATGACTACGCGATTGTTATATGCATCGACGTTAATTTACGTCCGCTCGGTTTCGCGCGTTTTCGGAAACATTCGCAATTGCTGCGACGCTCGAGATAACGAAAGAGACGCGATATGACGTACCGAGAGAGGGATGAGTTGAATTATTGTTCGAGATAAAGTTCTGCCGGGGCGTAAGTAGTCTGACAAGCAGCTTCCTCGCGGTTAGAGAAATTTAAACATTGATAATGTCCCGCTTCGCGATTCGAATCCCGAGACCGAGACGAGCCAAGTGTCTCGCGCGTATTGCACAAGAAATTTTACTGCGACACTTAACTGTTGGTTTGCTTAACGTTAATTTCGTTCCTCAATTTACCTTGCGCGAAACGTAAACGGTCTCATGTCACAAGTGTGTCCCAGATAACGATAAATTATTTTCAGAAAAAAAAAAAAGGATAAGAATTTATCGCGGAGAATGCTCTTTCTCTCTTGCTCTTTTATCAAAATATACGAGATATAATTTTCTCAAATCATAATCTCTAGAGATTGATTCGCTAATATACATATATGCAGTCTATGTAATATAATTTATCTGATTTATTACATTTGCTTACATGAGCTCCATTTATATTAATTTACTAGCTCAATGTATTATATTAAATTAAGACGAGATTAAAAACGGAGGAAAATTATCGCTCGAAGAAATAATCCGCTGCTCTCTACTCGTGCAACGTTCGCTCCGAGATTGCATAATTGCGGACGTATAATTGCACGTCTTAAATACGTACGCGCCTGAATGTCGTGCAAAATATTTACCTCTCTACCGTCGTCGTTGTGCGTACGTCTGCAGAGCATAGTCCTTATCGCCCGTCCTCTTATCGTCCAGGCTACCTCACGCGAGACTTATACCTTTTATCTCGCATCTCGGCGCGGCGTGTATTTTCACGAGAGGAACACGCAGACCGCCTATCCCGTCGCGTTGCGTCGTATCGGGACAAAGGATAATCGCCGAATGAGTTGTAACGTCAGAAACACAGCGTTGCGCAACCACGCGCCACGGTATTTTTTTTTCATGCAAATTTAACGCCCTCCACGCGCGCCGTCCGAGTGCACGCGGTTATGTTATGTAAAGAGCGCATGCGATCGTTTCGCGGAATATCGCGTCAAGTATGAAATCGTACGACCGCGAAAAATGCGTCGCGACCGAACCGACGAGATTTTTATTTTTCAAGAGGACAATAAGCGAATTTTGCAGTTTTCTTCTCTCTCTTGCAAAATTATATCCTAGCAATTTTCAACTCGAGTCTGATTTATGGAGATTTTCGAAGGACGTACGTATTTGCAGCAAGCGTTAGGTAGGGTGTTCGTGATTTTTTTCAAGCAACTCCTCTCATCTACGATGCTCGCGTCTGCGAATAAAACTCTCGTCGGACACAAATTCTACAATATAAATTTGCCGTGACGAAAATCGACGTCTAATCCGACGAATTAGTCGCACCGGTAATATAACGACAAGCAAATTGGATCCACGGTCGTTTGCGTTTGAAACACGATTGGAAATTAATTCCGGTTCTGGTAAGCCAAGCCGTCTGTTCACAAAGTTATCAGCTGCATCTGACAGAGAAACGGCTTCAATCAGCTTACTTCGATATGTGGATGACGGTAGCGTAGACGTTTAAGTTTTCATACGAATACTAAGTATTTAATTTTCGAATTGTTTCGAATTTAAAGATTAATTTGTGTTTTGTACTTTACAATGACGCGTTTTATTATTCCATTGAAAAGATGACATCTGATAACTAATTTCATTTATTTTTATTGCGCATATTTCATAATATTTCTGATAAAGATAAAGGCTTTTTTTGATCAAAATCAATCTCTCAATTAGAAAATTCTTATCAATATTTGATAAATATCAAGATTTAATTTTTCGAATAATCTCATTTCCAATTTTAAGGTCTACTATTTCGACTAATATGTGTTTGACTGCTCCTCTAATCTTGCTGCTAATTTTGCTACGAAATTCATTATGTACATCTTATTGCACGTAAATAACATTCGATATTATATACATAATCCCGATTTTTCGTATCGCATGTCAATCGAAGAGATGGACAAGCATCGAACATAAACATTTTATATTCGTATCCATTCCTGCTTCAGAAAAGATTTCACCAGCGCATCCAATCCTACGTTCTCACAGAAGATCAACAGCATATCCATTTTTTCATGGAAACTTCTATATCCATTCCTAACTTTATAAAAGATCTCGCATTGGAACATTGCTACTCGAACTCCCATGTTGCATCCTATCCCATCCTATTCGAGCTTGCACTCGAGGGTGGTTCGTTTGACAGGATGCCGGTTACTTTTCTGCTGTAGATACCGGACCTGGCGGTGACGGAGGAGCCGACGAGCCTGAGCATATCGCAGCTCGAGGATCTCATGGAGGACGACACCGGCGGTCCCGTCCACGGCGGGGACCCGATGCTGTCGTCCCCGCATCTGCCACCGTTGAGCCCACCTGCGGCCGCCTGTCACCACGGTTTAACCGACGAGGACACCCTTGGCAGTCTGGCGGTGACCACGTCGAATTCCTCGTCCGACATGGACATTGTCGCGTAGCGTCGAAAACCACCGTCGTCCATCAGCTTCGAAGCGCGATCGAAGTCGACTCCCGAAACTTTCATCGTCGTGAATTTTTCTGGTTGACTTTTGTCCGAGATGATTTATTTAGATTTGTACGAGAGAGAGTGTGTGTGTGTGTGTGTATGTGAGAGATAGAAAGAGAGAGGGAGAGGAAAGAAAAAATTGGGACATTTCTGGTGTAAGCGTGAGACATGAAGACAGAACTGCTGAGATATCGTAGATCTTCATCGTGAAAGAATGGGAAGGGAATTTGCGCGACACCAATTGAATTTTATTCGACCGCTGATGCGGATTTATCTAAAACTAGTCACCGACTCGAGAGGATCTTACTTCGAAGGATCGGCAAGAGAAATGAAGAGGTATGCGTACCGATTAGATGTTGGTTGCCATAGAGAAGATTAAAGAAAATTGTTTACTTCAATCGCAAATGATCATTTATTGGAAATGATCATTAATGATCATTTATTGGAAAAACAGTCATTGCTAAGAAGGAATATCAACATTTTTTTGAAATGAAATTCCGATTAAATATTAACAAAGATAATTATATAGACGAACTCCTTCTGGAAAATTGAAAGACATAATTAAAGTGTTTTCATGGAAATATGTATATTCATCGGATTTCATAGATGCCAATTATTTTATCAGTGATTTTCACAATTATCAACAATACATCCAGCGATTGCTGTTATTGCATCCTTATTTATTGTCTAATATGCCATTAATGACGGGTTTAATTTTCTCCTCATTAACTATGGACAGCATGAGCGCTTTTGAAGATCCTTTCAACCTGGGTGACCATCAAGAAGAAGTAGAGAAAATTATCGTGACAAGGACATGTCAAATTCGCGTTCCGTGTCCTTGGAGATCCAGTACGCGGATCATGAAAGTTTTTCGGGTCGATGACGAGAACCTCAAGAGGCGACCGGGCGTTTTCAAGCTGGCCAGAATCTTTCCAAGTGGCGGTGAAAGTCGTTATCGCTGGGCGATGGAGGAGTTCAGGGTCGTTCCAATTGCGAAGAACGGAGGGCTCGTTGTCACGATTCTACAAACGGCTGGCCGTTACATCGATGGAATGCGTGACATCTTACGTGCGTTGTATATTATGCCAGTGCATTCGAAGGACGCGCTTCTGTCGCGCTTGAACTTAAACATTTCGCTATCGTTTCGATATCATAAATCGAAGACGATATGTCACGATGCGCATCAGTGATGCGTAATGTATTGTTAGACGATTTCAGGATCTTTGACGAAGGACGAGAACATCAAAAGTGTTAACTATATGTTGTTATGATATTACTTAATCATCGAGAAATTATTTTTGTTGCGAGATATACCGAGAGAAAATGGTCTCCAAGAGAAATGAGGCAAGGGGAATATTTAGCAAAAAATATTCTCCCGGGGTATATACTTCGATAAGAAATATAATTGCCATTATATAAAATTTGTGAAAAAAATGATTGCATTATATGTCACTTCATTGTTTTCGCACGTTTATAAGGCTACGAAATATCAGGTCTATGTTGAAAGAACAGTTTGAAAATAAAAGAAAGTGAATATTCGTATGAAATGTTATTAAAGACAAGATATCGTAGTAATAAAAAATTAAATGAAGAGAAGAATCGGATCAATTTCAATGTTTTAAAAGATTTGCATTCTTAATCTTAAATATAATAACTTGATATTGAATCGAGTGCCTTTATGAAAAGAATTGAAAAAATGTATTTTCGAAAATATACCCTTCGATTTCAGTATTAAAACTAGAGATATACATAATACCACACAATCTCGGGAATTTCATATTCCAGAAATGTACAATGTAAAATTTTTAAATGTTAACAGAGTTTCTAAAATCATCTACATAAAAAAATCTACATAAAAAATTTTAAAACTATAAAAATTCATGATTATCTTTGAAATTATGGTCTCCCGAGGATTATGAAATTCCCTATGTATTTATAAAATCATATCATCTTGCCACTATTTTTACCGCAGTCGATATTTTTTCAATAATCAAGGATACGATGATTCAGAAAACAAATACAAAGTATTAGTATTAAAATAATTTTTGATAAAACTTGAAGGGGGTTCTGTACATACACGTAGGAGATCCGTATTCGACTAACTATTCGCGAAAAGACTCACGCAATCTGCCATTAATTGTCCATCGTACGCGACAAAGACCCCGACATCGACGTCGATATCGGGGCGATATCACGTCTGATACCTCGAGCGCAGGCTCGTAGCGGATGAGCGAGTACTATACTCAAGTTCGTTATAAAGTTTGCTAATAGTTATTGTCCTCTCGGCAATGTGCGCGTCGTGGGCTGCCTCGTGTGTCGCTCGCAGCGAGCATACGGTGGCTTTTGTACGCAACGGTCCTTGATTTCATCGCTTACCTTGTGTTCGTCGGGTATAACCCACATTACCCGAGTCACCACATCGCCTCGAGCCAAGATCGATGATTATTCAACCGGGGAATCATCGATAAATCATTGCCGCTCGATAGCAAGAGCAATAATTAAAGTATCACCTACTTTTCAGGAGAGAGCGAGAAAAAGTTTGAATATTAAAACGGAATATTAAGAGAAAAATAAGAGATATTATTTTGAATACATAAAACGGAATTATATTATTAAATATCAGGCAAGTTTTTACAATGCCGATTAATTTGATTTAAAATTAAATTTGATAAAATGAAAATAAAATAATATTCTTTTAACAGTTAATCGATCAGCGCAATTTTGATAATTTTAAAATTAAATATTTTTATCAAAGAACACACAAAAGAGAAACAAAGACTATGAGAATATTCTTTAGGACTTTCGATTTCTTTTACGAGTGCACCTTCTCAATTAAATGTCCATAGTAATGTTAGGGAAATAGAAATGGTCTATGCATAGAATATCTTAACACTATCACTCCTCTATCCAACACACACGGCTAAATCATAAGCGATAACGAATAAAGGCAACTTCTTATTAACGGAGGAAAAGAAAACATTTTAAAAAATTATTTTTCAAAAATCTGCTAAATATTAATTATCTTTCTATTCTGTATAAATCAATGAATATAATTTTAATATATTTTAATAAATTTTAATATTTAATATATTTTATTTAATATATTTTAATAAAATATTTTAATGAGATGTATTGATATGATTTGTATATCAATTATATTTGACATTTCAATCATACAATATATAGCTGACGCAGTTTTTTATGATTAGTGATAGCGTGTTTTTTCCGGTTGTCTCATTTATCTATTTCCATTTCATAGAAGTGATAGAGTTAGACATTCCAGACGTGGATTATAGGCAGAAGAACAACGTACCGCCCCCGAGTGTGTTCTTATCGCATCATTAGTCCTTAGATAAATACAGAATTATTTTTTGTGAAGAAATACATTCTCCATAGTTCATAGGCTGAAGAAACGCGTAATTACATTTGAAGCTTTTTGATAAACAAAATATGAATTCAATAGTGCCAGTTTAATCGAGATAAATAAAAGATTCATCGATGATAAACAAAATATGTATTCAATAGTGCCAGTTTGATCAAGATAAATAAAAGATTCATCTCTCTTGAGATGTAAAAGATATCTGGTTACATATACATATATATACAAAATGCATATCACGAAAATATATCATATCATATAATCTTCCTCGATTTTCTCTAGATTAGTTTATACACGTCAATTCCTCGTGTTTTATGAAAATGATATTTGTAAAATGCATTCGACCATGCATTGAAACCGGAACCACTCTGCGACTCTTTCTAAAAGATAAAAAAAAAAGTAAACTTTTCACATCTTTGTACAACGGAAAAGCAGTAATGTATGCACACAACAGACGCTATATACAAATTATTCCTACAATTTCGAGTCGCGGAACGACTATAAGATCCTTCTGGTTTCAAGACGGTCGATGTGTAAGGCACCTAGTAAGACGTTTTTGTATCCAATACGCGGTACTCACTCGCGCAGGTCGCAAGTTTTTAGTGTACGATCTGTAACTCATCTCGAGGACACTTCTTCGTCAGCACATACTCCAAGTACATATACTTTCTTACGAGATCTATGTAAACAAATTACAGCAGGTCGGAAACGCGCGCGCGTTGTCGTGCTATTCTCGTTTCTCACAAGCGTGACTGTACAAACGAGCAAAACGTTGCAAGCGCAACGGCAAACTGCAGTTGTTGCTCGCGGAGACTGCGATGCCCTGAGGCTGATACGTCCATTAACAAATCATTCCGTTTGCGATATATATGAATTTATTGCGCGATGCAATGTTGTCGTGCGCACATACATACTGTCGAATAAATTTTATATTAGCGTTGTCAACGTACCGCTCTTGTTGATTAATTGATGCTTAATTTCAGTTGCGAGAAAGCTCGACGAGCATCAAAGATGCAACATACGCGCGCGCGAGGGAAAGAAGGAGAGGAGAGGTTTTGTAAGAAATATATTAAAAGACCTTTGAAAAAATTCTTCCTTTTTCTCTCTTGCTTTCTCTCTCGCAAGCTGTAAAAATTAATTAGGAAATTTTATGTAAAGCACGCTCGGCTATTTTTAACGCTTTATTATCTACAAATTCTTTTGTAATTTTTAAGTCAATTTTTCTTTGAACGAAAATTGATTAAACGTCACTTTTTTCATGTATTCTTTCAATATCTTATATTACGAAATTGAACAATAAGGTTTCAGTTCTTTGTCTTAGTTTTTCAAAAGTTAATCTCTATGAGAACCTTTTCTTTTTCATTATTTACAATTAGATAAATTATTAATGGCTTGATTTTTGTTCAGGAAAAGTAGACTCCAAATTGATCAAAGAATAGTTTGTCCGCAGATGCGGAGCAAGATGTCTCGTTCCTCGGGGACATCCTATACTTAAGTCTTAAAATTGGGTGTAAGGTCGACGAGCGAAAGAAATTTCGTGCTTCGTGTGATTATCAAAGTCCGCCGAATGTTCTTTCGCGAAATCGGACCAACTCGCAATTCCGTGCACGAGCCGCGCGATGCGGAATACGTAACGATTTGACGACACGGTGCACTCGGCCCGAAAGTCGAAATAATGGAGGGGAGATGAGAGGAAGGGTACCACTAACTTCCTCGCTGTCGGTGCTGTGTAACCACCGGGGAAAAATAAATAATCCGAGTACACGGCGTGCGCCTAAAGTAAATACCGGCTCGCGAAAAACTTTCTTGTCAGGAACGCGTTTCTGTTAAAAGGGGGCTTGTTAGGACTTTTGGCGAGGACGTGACTATGCTCGCCAGTTCGGTCCGAGATTCGGTGCGAAATTTCACGCGTGCGAAATATTCGTCGCTTTGTGAGGATTGGATATCGTCAAATTTATTTATTTTCTCGATTAGCTAGAAATTAGGAAGATAAGAAACGCACGATTCATTTTTCTTTTTAATTAAGCATTCGGCGTTTGAGTTCGATGGCAGGTAATTTCGTAAAAATTATTTGTAGTTGATATTCTTTATCGATATCGAAGCAACGCGATGCCGTTGAAACTTGCAAATTTTTTCGACTTAAAACGCCAAAGGCTATTGCCATCGTGAATGCATAACGAAAGTTAAGTATGCAATAATGATTAGCAGACATAACTGGTTTGCCAGCGAACCTCGAAATAGGTCATACCCCGAAGGTACGCCATTTATAGCGAGTGCTGCCTACCTTTAAACTCAGAACGAAACTAATTTCTGTCGGAACGAAATTTCACGACAATGTGCAATAGCGCGTTACGGAAGACGTATTGGAAATTTATCCTGGAACAGAGCTGTATATTTATTTGTTTCCGAATATAACATTCTCTAATGCATATTGATGTCGCAAGAATAGTTTTCAAATTTGAAGAAAGAAGATATTTAAATATTAATAAGAGAACTTTTTTTTTCTTTATTTCTATAGATTCTATAAATTTACAATTTTTTATATCGAAACGGATTATTTATATAAATTACACATTTTAATATTTAATATTAAATTTGTTCGTTTCTTTCAGGTTTTGAAAATATCTTTCATATTTAACGCAACTATCTTAATAATAAAACTATCTTAAAACTATCTTAAAAATAAATATTTTACGCAAAATTTTTTATTCTTCGAGAAAGATTTCGCGAGATTAATTTTCTAAACATATATTAATATGAACACTGCAAGATTATTTTTAAGAGTGTTTTTAGTTATTCGGAAGTTCGATCTCTCGAATACAATTCATTGTACGAGACGACGACAATCTGGGTTTTCGCAAGTTCACCGATGCTGACGTCGCAAGCTTGCGAATCGTCCATCGCGAATCGGTATCGTTTGCATGCGGGCATACATAACGCCACAACAACGGGAATAAAAAGAGAGAGAAAATGAGAAGGCGAAAGTACGAGGCAGGTGCAGCGACCATAAATAAAAGATACTGCCGATGTTACGTGCTATAGAACAAGATTGAAAATTCTGCGAACGCGGAATATATGCGATCGCGCGTTTCTCTCGCCCAATTGCCTCCTCGCGACATCGGCATTGCGCTACTTTTAAAGAGATGTTTACTAAATTTCGCGATTCACTTACGTGAGAAATTTAAGAGTTAATCAACATTCTTTTCTTTTATTCGTCAATTTCTCTTCCATCATATTTTCGTTTTTTTATATTAATTTTTCTGTTTCTTTTTTTCCCCTAATTTTGATATCTGAAAATGAAAGAAAATTTATTTTATCGATGATATTTATATTCCGGCGCTCGCGTTTGGATGTGGGTTTCCCCGTAAGTTTCACCGTCTCGTGAATAAAACATCGGCGCGGACCAGGCCGAGGACGAGCACGCGCTCGAAATGAG